TGCATTGCGCTTCCACAACGTACCCCCCCCCCGTGATTTATATGATTCTTGGTCCTACTCCATTCCCAATTCCGACTTCCAACTACTATAGACTCCAACACCCCTTATACAATGCCCATTTAGAATCTGGATTAATTGCTTTGACAAAATGCAGCTGCTGTCTTCTTGCGGGAATAAGATGCCACATAACACCAATCTTACTACAGCTGCATTGGTTACCCATTGAGCACCGGATCACTTTCAAAGTGATGGTACTCACCTTTAAGGCCTTGCATGGTCTGGGGCCGATGTACCTGAGGGACCGCCTCACCCCCTACCAACCCCAGAGATCCCTCCGTTCTGAGGACCAAGATCTATTGGAAATTCCCAGTGTCAAGACCTTGCGTCTAACAGCAACCAGACACAGAGCCTTTACAGCAGTGGCACCATCACTCTGGAATACTCTGCCACCTGAAGTCCGTGCCTTGCGGGACTTATCAGCTTTCCGCAGGGCATGTAAGACATATCTGTTTCGACAGGCCTTTGATCTTTGATATTGCTGTTTTTAAATTGTTTTAAATTGTTTTTAAATTGTGTTAGATTTTAGCCTGTTCTTGTAAGCTGCTCCGAGCCCCAGGGGAGTGGTGGCATATATGTTTGAATTATAAATAAATAAATAAATAAATAAATAAAAATAAATAAAGTGGATTATCTGCTTTGATTATCTGGCATCATAAAAGGGGCCCCAGTTAACCAGGACTCTCAAACAACTGGCAAAAAATAATAAAATTTTAAATAAAAATAAAAATACTATAATACAATAAAGCTGGGTAACATTTAGGTAACTTTGTCTTTTATTTGTCTTTGTTTACTGTATTTCAATATTAATATGAAGTCAATACAGAGTTTATGATATGGTATAGTATCAGGTCTATTTGAAGAATAACTCTCAAGCAATCAGAAACTACATTTATCCAGCATCTACCAAACCCCATGAGTGCCAGTCAATAAAAAATCTACTGTATAAATACTGTAAAGTCAGTTATAAAATATAATAATCATTATTATAAAAACAGTATTATCAGCTGACATTTGCCGTGACAGAACAAGATAAAGGAAATATAATATTGTGTAATTCTTAGCATTACTACAACTTAACGTTTTGTGATAGCAACTGCAGAAAAATGAGTGGGATGGAGCTAAAAGCACACACACCTGGATGCCTACGTATGTACATGAAAAGTTATCAATCTGGAGAACAACAACTCAGAGAAACCCTTGAGTCATGGCTGGTTAAATCTGCAGCTCTGTGCCAAGCCCTCTTCATCCAAGGGAGCTCTTCAGGCCTCATGACATGGATGGCAGGCAGCCAAGCAAAAGCAAAGACCTCACACGCCCTGCCCGACTGGTCCAAGGTTGTGACCTTGCAAACTTGGAAAGAAAAAAAGAATCTGGCCCTGAGCCAAGCATACTATTTGATTCATTAAGGGTGGAAATATTTAAGAAAGAAAAGAATAGCAGCCTCCTCTTGTGTTCAGTATGTTGTGCTAAGAGGATTGCCCTTAACAGATGCATTCTTGAGGGAATATGATATAGTATATCATTGTTGGGCTCTGAGAGCAGGATTCCTGCTCTCACTGGGTGGCTCTCAGCTTCAAAAAACCCCATGATAAAGTTTGCCTTAGGATTCCGGTAAGCTGGACATGACTTAAAGGCACACCGTAACAGCAACATAGAATCTTATGAGAGCCAGTGATTCGAAAGTTCGGCTGAAGGAGTGTCTACACCAGGCCTGGGTAAATTTGGGCCCTCCATGATCTACAGCTGTTTCAATGCATTGAGATGTTTTGGTGCTAAATTCGTAAATACTACATAATGTTAGTGTGTATTGAACTACTTTTCCTGTCAATTTGTTGTAAAACATACCGGCCACATGACCTTGGAGCTGTCTATGGACAATGCCGGCTCTTCGGCTTAGAAATAGAGATGAGCCCCACCCTCCAGAGTCGGACATGACTGGACTTCATGTCAGAGGAAAACCTTTACCTTTACCTTATGATATTTTGGTGCTAAATCTGTAAAATCATAACGTTTAATAGGCTTTTCTTTAATCTTTCCTTATTATCCAACATTTTCACTTTTCACATTTATGATGGATAAGCGAGACTCTACTCGTCAACGACTTAAATCTAAAAATAGTTTTTTAAGATCTACAGAGACACTCGCTGGAACACCTCAGCAAGCGAGAGTCCAAAAGTGGCAGGCCCAAACCCAGCACCTCAACCAATGGCTGATACCAAATGAGAGACTCTCCTGGGCACACAGAAGACTGGGCGACTTGGAAGTCACTGAACAGACTGCGCTCTGGCACCACGAGATGCAGAGCCAACCTTCAGAAATGGGGCTACAAAGTGGAATCCTCGACATGCGAGTGTGGAGAAAAGCAAACCACTGACCACCTGCTGCAATGCAACCTGAGCCCTGCCACATGCACAATGGAGGACCTTCTTGCAGCAACACCAGAGGCACTCCAAGTGGCCAGATACTGGTCAAAGGACATTTAACCATTCCAACTACCAAACTCACAAGTTTTGTATTTGTCTGTTTGTTTGCTTTGTTCTGTTAGAAATGTAATATAATGGAGTGGTTGCTCTGACATGACAAATAAAGTGAGACTCTACTGCAGTGTTTCTCAACCTGGGGGTCGGGACCCCTGGGGGGGGGGTGTCACAAGGCAGTGTCAGAGGGGTCACCAAAGACCATCAGAAAACCCAATATTTTCTGTTGGTCATGGGAGCTCTGTGTGCCAAGTTTGGTTCAATTCAATCGTTGGTGGAGTTCAGAATGCTCTTTGATTTTAGGTGAACTATAAATCCCAACGACTATAATTCCCAAATGTCAAGTCTCTTAGTTCCCAATTCCACCAGTGTCCACATTTGGGAATATTATCATTGCCAAGTTTGGTCCAGATCCATCATTGTTTGAGTCCACAGTGCTCTCTGGATGTAGGGGAACTACAACTCCCAAACTCAAGGTCAATGCCCACCAAACCCTTCCAGTATTTTCTGTTGGTCATGGGAGTTCTGTGTGCCAAGTTTGGTTCAATTCCATCACTGGTGAAGCTCAGAATGCCCTTTGACTGTTGGTGAACTATGAATCCCAGCAACTACAATTCCCAAATGACAAAATCAATCCCCCCAATATTCAAATGTGGGCGTATTTGGTATTTATGCCAAATGTGGTCCAGTGAATGATAATACATCCAGCATATCAGATATTGACGTTACGATTGATAACAGTAGCAAAATTATAGCTACGAAGTAGCAATGAAAATAATGTTATGTTTGGTGCAGGCATGTAGCTGGGGGGGGGGGGGCTTGGGGGGGCTGGGTTGCGGCTTGGCGCGGTCTGGGCTTAGCGGACAATGGGCCCCCCCTTCGTCCTCGGGCTGGGCTTGGCGGGGGCGGGTTGGGGGGGGGGGGCTGGCTGGTGGCGGGTGGGGGCGGGGGGGGGGAGGTCGGGGGTGGGGGGGGGGCAATTTTTTTTCTCCCTTCTTCCCTCTTCTTCCTTCTTTGGGGGCCAGCCCCCCCCCCCACCACCCCCCCCCCCGAACGACGACCCCCCCCGAAACCCGAACCCCCGCGCCCGACCCCCCCGCCGACCGAAAACCCCGACCCCGACCGAACGGAACGACGAAAAAACGAACGCGACACAGCCACCCCCCCCCCGAAATTCTCATGGTGGTTCGCGAAAAGGCCTTACTGGTGCATTATTTAAACTGTTATGTTTATTAATATCATGATTTGATCACCATTCTCAATATATCCCATATGTATGGGGGTATTGGGGTAATGATACAAAAGGTTTGCTAGGCTAGACCCTCTTTCACTCAGACTCAGCCCCCCCGAAACTCAGCCCCCCCCGAAACCCCCCCTGAAAATTTTTTAGCCCCCCCCGAAACGAAATCCTGGCTACGGGCCTGGGTTGGGGGGTCACCACAACATGAAGAACTGGATTAAGGGGCCACAGCATTGGGAAGGCTGGGAACCACTGCTCTACTGTATTCAAGCAGCGAATATTAAAATCCGCGGATACGGAGGGCCGACGGTCATCTCCTGCTTCCCAGCCGCGAGAAGGGTTTCCTGGCGCGCGTGCACCCACTCGGCCGCGCGCTCTTGCGCTTTCCTCACCGGCGAGGGGAGGCGGAAGCGCCGCCCATCAGATGACGCGAGCGTGACGTCAACGAAAAGGCCGAGCAGGCGCTGGAACGTTCGCTTCCTGCACATCCTCCTGTGACGCGCGACACAGTAGCCCCGCCTCTTCCGTGCCGGTAACTTCGTGGTGCCAGTCTGTCGCTCAAACACGCACGCACACAGCAGCCGGCGCGTGAGGGTCGTGCGGGGCCGCGTGCTGCTTCTCCAGTTGGTTCCTTCCTTCCTGCTTCCTTCCTTCCTTCCTTTCTTCCCTTCTCGGGTTGCCATGAAGCACATGCCGTACTTCTGCCGGGGCGAGGTCGTGCGAGGCTTCGGCCGGGGATCCAAGGAGCTGGGCATCCCCACAGGTGAGGGGCCAATGGGGCTGCGGGGGAGGACGGTGGCCTCGCGGGGACAAAGGTTCCCAGAGGACCCACTCTCGTTTCTATATAGGTGGCTATGTTTCTGCCCGTTTTCTTTTCCTCCCCGAATGGGACTTCCCTGAATATCTCCCTACGCTTCCTATATCGAAAGAGGATGCCAGGCCCATGCCACACAGCTGAATACATTATTTGCTTTGAACTGCTTTGAGTATATTGTAATGTGGACTCAGATAACCCAGTCCAAACCAGATATTGTGGGATTCTCTGCCTTGATATTCTCAGTTATATGTCTGTGGTGAGTTCTCTCATTGTATCAGAACTGGTTTGCTCTCATTGCTTCAGCGGTGAAGTTTTGAAAATGTTTACCTTCAGTTTTCATAGAATCATAGAGTTGGAAGAGATCTAGCGGGTCATTCAGTCCAAACCCTTCCAAGAAGCAGGAAAATCGCATTCAAAGCACCCCCAGCAGATGGCCATCCAGCCTCTGCTTAAAAACCTCCAAAGAAAGGGCCTCCATCACACTCCGAGGCAGAGAGTTCCACTGCTGAACAGCTCTCACAGTCAGGAAGTTCTTCCTCATGTTCAGGTGGGACTAAAAGGCCTTACTGGTGCATTATTTAAACTGTTATGTTTATTCATATCATGATCTGATCACCATATTCAATATATCCCATATGCATGGGGGTATTGGGGTAATGATACAAAAGGTTTGCTAGCGTAGACCCTCTTTCACTCAGACTCAGCCCCCCCCCCCCCTAATCGAAATCCTGGCTACGGGCCTGATGTTGTTTATTTGTTCAGTCGCTTCCAACTCTTAGTGTCCTCATGGACCAGACCACATCAGCCGTCACCATCCCCAGCTCCTTCAAGGTCAAGCCAGTCACTTCAAGGATACCATCCATTCATCTTGCCCTTGGTCAGGCATTTTCCTTCCATTTTCCCCAGTATCATTGTCTTCTCTAAGTTTTCCTCTAAGCTTCCTAATGTTCAAGTGGAATCTCCTTTCCTGTAGTTTGAAGCCATTGTTCTGCATCCTAGACTCCAGGGCAGCAGAAAGCAAGCCTGCTCCTTCCTCACTATGACTTCCCCCGACACATTTATACATGGCCCTCATCATGTCTTCTCTCAGCCTTCTCTTCTGCAGGCCCAAGCACCTGGAAAACTAGAGTTTGACAAATTCTGTAGAACCATACTTCTATTTTTAAAAACGTTCCTCCAATTCATCAATCAAACAGTTGAAATTTGCACCCATCATTGCCATGGAAAGATGATAAACACATCACAATCTTTCTTGAAGTTGATCAGATATTTCTTTTTAATCAGCACTGCCAGTTTGTCCATTGTAGTTACTCCACCTTCATCAGCCAGTCGTCTTGCCTTGGATTAACTGGTTCCTTCCATCTCTGTGCATCGACTATTCTCACTGCAGTAATCTATATTGCAGTAATCTTTCCTTTCTAGAAGTTGTCCAGCATTTAGATTTGAAATGACTTGAAAGCACACAAGAACGAATTTACCCTCACTTTGTGAATCCAACTCTTCCCCTCTTTAAAAAAATGTCAAGCAAATAGAGGAGAGCCATTTGTATTAGAGATACTCTTGTGGTTTTCACACCTCTGGTGTTCCCCATGTCTGCATCTCTGAAGAGTCATAACATAACAAAAGTTGGTGCCACAACAAAGCTGGAGCCCTGTGTCAGTGATGTAAATGGAAAAGGCATGCTATCAACAATGTTGCGTAAAAAACAGCAACAACTTCCCTCGCCTCATGTTTATTAGTCACAAAGGCTACATTGCTCTTGTTGAAACCATACATGTTATCTCTTAAGAAAAACAACACAATCTTAACAAATATGTCTTAACAAAAAGTGAGCTCTTGCAAAGAACTATTGTTGTTAACTGTTAAGTCACTGTCAACTGCCTTGCTCCAATCTTGCCGACTCAAGGCTATGGCTTCCTTGATTGAGAATCTAATCACAAGGAGGCTTCCCCATTTCTAGACACTATAAAACCAGAGTCCATCAAATGATGCAAGACTACTTCTGGAGGTTGCCTATAGGACTCCGTTTTTGAAGTGTCTGTCTAGAAGTTGGTGTTTTTGGAGTTGGGTAGCATTCCTGCCTGACTCCAGACCTCTCAATTTGCTTGGAAGTGGGAAAGACGGACACTTTGACATGTGATGGCAACTGCTGAATGTCTCCATTGTATTAAGGTGGCAAGTGGAGTGGTGATTGCTAATGAAATGGTACATATGATGGGGAGACAGCAGTTCTCCGTACATGAAAAGGCACTAAATGCAACAATAGAAGACAGTCCCCCCTGCTTTCCCTCCCTCATAGAAGGAAAGCTTTTAACTGTCAAGGCTCAATGCTATGGAATTTGTTATTATTTATGCTCAATGCTATGGAATTTGTAGATTGGTAAGAGACCAGATGTCTTTGATAGAGAAGGCTCAAAACTTTGTAAAACTACAACATAGAATAGAGACATGGTGGTTCAAATGGTGCCAAACTGCATTAATTCTGCAGTGTAGATGCACTCTTAAACTCAGGCTAATCTGACTTATGAGTTTCAGTAATGGTCTGTTAAAACAGGATGTTATAGCAATGTGAACAGATTGCCAGCTTTTTTTTTTTTTTTTGGCAGTTGATATGAAATATTTTAAAGCACTGTATTAAGTTTCTTTATTTCTCCCCTTACATTTTCAGCTAACTTTTCTGAGGAGGTGGTTGATAGTTTCCCAGCTGACATCTCTACTGGCATTTACTATGGATGGGCTTGTGTTGGAAATGGAGATGTGCATAAAATGGTTCTGAGCATAGGCTGGAATCCTTATTACAAAAACGTTAAGAAATCTGTGGTAAGAACGTTTCTTCATTAAACAGTTTATGAGGCTAAGATCATGAACGGTACCAACATATTTTGAAAGCACAGAAACTGCTTGAGAGTGACATTTTGTAAGCTGACTTAGTCTCACATTAAAGGTTTTTCCTTTTTAAATAATAACACGGGAAAAGCACTAGCTTCTTTCTCCCTTAAACTTTGAAATAAATTTAATTTCCTACAGAATATCCTTGATGACAGCTAAAGTACTGGAAGTTTACACTTTCATTTACATTAGGAAATTGAGATAAAAATTCTAGGGTTCACAGAGGTGTCTGCCATGAAAGCCATGATTGGCATTCTAAATAGGTAAATAATTCCTGCAAATGTGAACACCTTATGCCTTTCATTTATTGTTTTAGGAGTTGGTTTTCTACATTGATTTCATGTCTGTTTGGTTAAACACCAAGAGATTAGATAGGAAAGGAAATAGAGAAGTGTCATCAAATTGGAGGAATTCTCTAAGGGTTCCAAAAGAAGCTTTAACAAAGGCATAGGAAGCCTAAGGCTTTGCAGTTTATAATGTATTCTTTTGTGTTACTATAATACACATTATTTATAATTTTATTAACTAAAACTTTAATTTTTATTTTAGGAAACACATATTATTCACACTTTTGATGAAGACTTTTATGGAGAAATGCTTAGCATAATTATTGTTGGATATATACGACCAGAAAAAAACTTTGAATCTTTAGGTAAGTCTTCCGTACCTTTTGAAAAAGCTTTCACCGGAGGGTCATTTCTTAGCCAGTCCTTAAATATTATTACTCAGTGACATTGGTTCTGAGTCTTGTGTCCTCCAGATGTTTTGAACTTCATTTCACAGGAACCTTGACCATTGGCCATATTGGCTGAAGTCCAAAATAACTGAATGACTAAAAGCGATTAATTGTTCTATGGCTCCTGTTTTTAAAAGCCCAAGTTTATATATGGATTCTGTCTGTTTCCCAAACAAGGGATCTTTCAGAGCAGTCTCCTCTAACCAAGTCTTTCAAGGAGACAATGGTGTATTATACTATGTAACAAAATTTGAAAAAGTTATGTTCCCATTTTGATAGTGTTACTTACTGTTTATTGTGTGATACTTACTTTGAAAGTAGTTGTTATACTCCAGAAACTTCATTTTTGTGGCTGCCACAAACTATTTTGAACTGGTAGAGACTCTATTAGATATTCATTGAAAACCTATAGCAAAATGTGCTGCAAGATGTCCCACCAAACTACGTTTTTGCAGTTTATTAAACTTTTCCCATGTTTTTATGATAGAGCCAATTAAAAATGACTTTTATAACCGGGAACAAAAATTGTGTTACATAGTGTAATTGTCTGTCTTTCTGTTTACCAAGTAAATGTATGTTGTCACTACATATTAAATTACAAGGTTATAAAGTGTCCATGATCTTTGCTGCTGACCAGGTAACTAGGGCCACTCGAAGGATGAAGTCTCTTGCAATGGGGAGTCCAACCTTCTTTTATTCAAAAACCAGAGAAAAGATTGCTGAAGGAATTTTGTTCTTCCCTCAGTAAAAAAACAAACCCTGCTCCAGTCCTGCTATACAGCTTTGTAGCAAGAGAGCATTCAGGGAGTGTACTTTTGACTTAGGCCCCTTCCACACAACTGTATAAAATCCACATTGAACTGGATTATTTGGCGGTATGGGCTCAGATAATCCAGTTCAAAGCAGATATTGTGGATTTTCCGCCTTCATGTTCTAGGTTAAATGGCTGTGTGGAAGGGCCCTTAGACATTACCCAGAAGACTAAAGACTGCTAGGGTTCTAAAAATGCAAATATTTGTGTTGGATTATGTGCCTGACTTTGCATGTTACTTCAAATAAATGCTATATTGTTACATGCTGTCAATTCAACCTTTACTTATGACAATGTTCTAAGTTTTCTTGTCAGTTTTCATATAGAGGAGGTTTGCATTGATATCCTCTTAAGGCTGATTTTTATGCCTGAGCTGAATCCTGGCCTCTACAGAATCTAGATCCAAAATCACAGCACTATGTGGGTTCTCACAAAAAAAATGCTTTGTTTGAATTTTTTGTTTTTGAAAGATTACATTTCTAAGTTAGACTAAACTGAATTTTACTATTATTTTCGGCACAACTATAAAATATATTTGCCAGGAAAACTGATGGCCAAAACCGCTCTTGAAAGCAACTGATCTCTCCCAGGCATCCAGATCCACGTTCATGGAAACTAGTATCCATCAGGCAAAAAAGCCATCTCTTCCTAGCCTCATGTTTTGGAGAGAAGGACAGACTTCCTGCATGCACGGCTCTCGCTTTATAGAAAAATGAAGTCCCCCCTTTCTTTGGTGACAAAACCTGTTAAGGTGGAATATATCTCTTCATCTTGTAATATCAATCTCGGGGGTTAAAGGATGCAACAAGGATATTTGTAACAACAGCATTACTGTTCAGCTAGAAGCCTCCCATTGTAGGCCTGCCACATAAACTGATGTCAACTTTAGTAGGATACCTGAATCTTGTCTGTTCAGACTAATTCAATCACTTTGGCTATAATGGCAAACTATTTTTATTGTGATGAGAATTTGTTTTCTTTATGTGATATCTGAATCAATTTCATGCCTCTCTGTACTTGTGATACTGTTGGAACAAGCCTTTATCAGCATGACATGCTTTTTTCAGAAAAAAATAATACTTATGATATGTTCCTAATTTCTTTTTTCCTCCTTCTGCAGATGCACTCATAGCAGCTATTAAATCTGATATTGAAGTATCTGAGAAAACACTAGAATTCCCAGAACACCAGAAATTAAAACATCACAATTTTTTCCAGAAGGGTGAGGCTAGCACTATGGCTAATGGCCATTGAGTGATGCTAGTATTTTAATTTTTACTGTTACTGTTTAAATTGCACTGATGTTTTAGTGTCTGTACTGCTTTAGAACATTTTTAACATTCCTGCTTAGAATTGTTTGTTTGTATTAAATGGTTAGCTCCCTAAAATCTAAATTAAAATGATTTACTTTTTATGAATGTACTCCAACTCAGCAAAATAGAAACGAAATGTTTTGTCACATATGGTGCACTTTGGGCAGTTTTTTAGCTCATCAGAATCTAAGCAAAAGTTAGTTCCCTAAACGTAGATAGTACGAGTATTTTTAAAATATTTCTTAGACTATTTACATTATCTGTAATTAAACTATATTTTGTGAATTTAAATGACAAGTTTATTAAGTGATTTTATACTGAGGGAAATGCATTGGAAAAGTGGATGTAGCATGAATAGTTTCACGGTCAACTTCTGCTTGATTTTTACTTCTTGTTCATTAGACATGGGTTAGAACCAGATACGGCTGGATTCTTTTTAGTCCCATTCAATTGGGAAATCATTTTAATGTAACTAACTGCTGCTGTTGAGTTCATTGCCACTAAAAATAGATAATTTCTTCTTGGTTCAAACCAGTATTTCTACTTATTAGTACAACTTGCCTGTTTAGTGTGCTTTTAAGCAAATGGTATGCATGCATCAATATCAAAACAAGCATATGAAATTCTAAGTTAAATCTCTTGGTTTGTGTGCATAAGCCTTGATATGTAGTACATTTATCTTTTCATGATATGTCCACAAGATGAGGTTGCCAGTTTCCATTAAAACAGTGTATAGCTTTAAAATAAGTTCTGTCACCTTATTCATGATTACCTCTAATGATATATAAAACTTTCTTTTGAAATTACAGTAACACATTATTGTATTCATGCATCAACATTTTGGAAATTTTATTTTAGATATGATCAACAAAAGTAGAATTTTATTACATTCTGTTCAGTCTAAAATAACAGTAATTTAGTGTAGTGCAATAAAAGTAAAGTATCTCTTATCTGATATGCTTGGGGCTGGAAGTCATTTTGATTTCATCTTTCCCAGATTTTGCAATATTTGTGTATACATAATGTAATGGAACCCAAGTCTAAACATGAAATTAGTTTGTTTCATATGTATCTTGTAGAAGAGATTTTCAACATTTTAATTAATTTTGTACATTTAATAAGGTTTGTGTACAGTGCACTAAACCAACAAAGAGCACTATTATGTGGACAGTTTTGGACTTTGGAACCTTTCAGATTTCTGGATAAGGGATATCTATTTGCACTTTTATTGTTTACATAACCATTCACAAAATTTGACATACAATTTGACACATATACAGTATGTGCATTGAGAGTGGGATTGTTGCTGCTGACATAGATATGAGAGCACAAACTGCACATGCAATTGAGGACCATAAGTTTATAGCTTTAAATGTAAATAAGTGTCCCAGGGGTCCTGTGCAGGATACCATGTGAATGAATGCATGGAGAGCATGTCGCTGTGATCCACTTTCCCCCATATGCATTAGTTGTTTGTGTATCAATTATGGCAAAGGTGCTTCGGTTTTATGTGAGACTTTCCCCTTGTACAAGGAAGTGTAAGGTCCCTTCTTGGTGTTGAATCATGGGCACATTGTTAACATACCAGGGGCTAGATTTAATTTTAATTACATCTAGATCCATTGAAAGGTACAGGGTGTTTCAAAATGATGAACCCAATTTCAAAGCAAGTTCACAAATGCAATATGTGGCAATTACACAAAAAGTTATGAACGGTTGAATGAGTTTTCAAATTTCGCTAACCATTTTTGAGCCAGAAATAAATCTAAAAGAAATAACTGCAAATGGGTAATATTTCATTAGGCCTTATGTTGCGGGATCACCATTTTGCAAATGACTGAGACCAGTGCCTATTTCTGCACCGAGAAAGGTATCTAGTGGTTATCATTTGAAACTCTATGCCCACCCTTTCAATCGGTAAGAATTTCATTCATGAGAGGTATAGTGATTTCAAATTAGGCTTTTTGAAACTACTGGAATAAGTACCCTTTCATCAACACTGATGTTGGTCCCATTTGTTTTAATAGTTTACTCGTTAGGATTAGAATCAGGCTAAGATCTCACTGTTGTATCTAGTAACACTGCCCACAATCTGGCCCTACTCCGTTCTCCTAAGCAGGGCCTTATCTGTTAATCAACCATAAAGGGTGGGGTGCCCTCACTTTTTCAGCTTCTGTGAACCTGGCAATTTTGTGATTCACACCATACAGGCAACAAGCCATTACTGGCAAGTTTTATATTGCTTCTGTGAGCCTCAGCTCCAGGAAGTGAGAAACCCTTTCTTCCTTTCTCAACTCATTGTAGGGAGGTGGAACTTTCTCATAATATACTGATTTTTGCACTAATTGAAGTCTTCTGCTTGCTGCATACAAATACCTTTCTTGACTTAAGAGAGGGGAGCTGATGTCTCATACCATGCTGCTCAAAAACTAGAGCAATTCCCCCACTATAATTTAAAACAATATTAGCCCTTGAGACTCAGCTAGTGCCATGTTATGAAAATGAATGTGTGGGTTTGTATATGTTGTTGCCTATACATGTCGTCTTATTTTAGAAAGTGCCTTCTAATTGTTCTGAAGGGTTGTGAACACTGATCTAAGAATACTTGTGTGTATTTTGGATTATTCATTGAGAACATGCGATAATGGCAGCATACTTAACTGGGGGAAAGAACACTAATGCATGGGCCAGGAATACAGTTTATTAATAGATGCTGATGAATAAATATGTCAATGGGTATGAAATTAAAGAAATATTTATTGAATTCTGTCCTTTTATATGTCTGTACTTAAAAGTGAATGATTCATTTTAAAATTATCATGGCAATTTTATTAAGGGATTTTATTTTTGTATTAATTTTGTATTCATTCCCCACTTCAGGGTATTGTTAGGTGTGGGAATTGGTGTAGAAATTCAATTCATGATGGGAACAATGAATAAAATAAAGAAAATGTGTATATCTCTTGATCAGCTTTGTCTTTTATTTTGCTACAGGGAACTCATACTAACCTTTACAGTTAGTCTATAGCTGGCATGCTGCCATTTTTTTTAAAAAAATTATATAAGTAATTTTTTCTAAATAGCATCATAAACAGCTCTTTTAATATTTACAGTGGAAAACAGTATGTGCAAGAGAAAAACATTTTTATTGTTTTAATTCAATTCAATTCAATAATGGAAGTGTAGAATTCGATTATGCATGTACAAAGATGATAAAGTGCATGCTAACGACACTCACTTGGCAAGAAGAATCGGGTCCAGATACTAGTTAAGAAAGACATATGTTTTCTTCATACAATGTGGTGCTTGCAAATTTCTAATGACAATTACAGTTAATTGCCTAAGGTAGGAAGTGCTAGTTTCACGGGAAAAAAATGTCTCTAGTCCAACAATTTCTTCCACAAATATTGACATCTGTTGATGAATCTTAAGATAGCAAGTATGTGAACATATTTTCATCTCTTAGAGGCTATCCAGTTGGACGATGAAAGAAAAAGCTCCAATTCTTGAACCTTATATGAAAATCCACTCAGTTCTCTCACTTCTCCAAGTAATAGTTCTTTGGGAATTTTTTGAATTCCCAGCACTGGAGCATAATACATGTCTCAAAACTGAAAATTACACGATAACTAGTGAGTAAAGCATTTTAAACATGGTTATCTGGAGAAGAGGAATCATATGGACAAAGTTATTGCTATTTTTTTAAGCTGCATGCGGTGGTTTTCTGTGGCTTAGGGTGTTAATAGAATTATGCTTGGCTTACACTTGGTAATATAATAACATTGCAACACCTTTTGAAATGTTTGGCTTATATATGAAAAGCTTACATTCTCTGGATTACTGCAAGAACCATCCGCACTCATGTGGTTTGCCTTTGTGCCAACTGATCAAGGCAGGAGTCCAAAGTTCCTTTCTGCTGGAAACATTAACTCCACTGTCTCTCACATCAATTTGAAAAATCCTGCCTCACAAGCTGCTGGAGGTCTTCTCTCTATCCTCAAACATTTCCACAGTCCAAGTTTCTACTAGCTTTGAAAATAGTGTTATTGCAGTAAGGTATTGCCATATTTCAATTTGTATAATTAAATAAATAAAAATAAAACAGATTTTACAGACATTGTTTGAGCAGGAATAAACCTGCTGTAACTCATTAACAATGCCCTTCTACACTTTATCATTAAATGATGATCATTCTTGTGGTAATATCAGTGGAAGTCCAACCAATGCCAGAACGCCCAACTCCAATGCACTATTGTGGATCGGTTATCTTAGTGACAGTTTTAGAGGTTAAAACCTTGCAAGTCACCATGCTTTTGTAAAAAATTTATTTATTAATGCAGATATGACAGGTTTAATATATTCACAAATGAATGAACAGATCTACGTTCCACAGAGAATGTGCCAACAGGTGTTATACAAATAGATGGCTCACTTGCTTTCTGTTTTCTAACCCACCAAAGAACGGGGAAATTAAGCACATTTTTCCATTGTGCGTTTGAGTGCAAATCCATATCTGCTCAAAGTCCAAATGCTTCAAGAACTATCAGACATAAATAAAAGTCCAGGCTGGCTTTACCTTTACTTTCTATCTGTTGTGATCTTAGTAAGCATTCCCATGGAATGTTGTTACAATGGTGGCAAGAGAAATATACTTTAGACCGACACTCTTCACATACAGACACAATGCCTGGAAACTAACTGACTATTGGGCCCACAGCAGTGTAACTATGCTGACAGAAGTGAAGAGCAAACCAATAGTAAAAAGAAAAGTGGCTATGATAGGGAATAGTAAAATATACCAATAATGGTAGGAAGAGAATGCTGCTGTTCTTGTTTCTCAGATATTTGGCTTTCAAGCTAAGGCTACACATGAGGATGGGTTTGGATAATTCTGCAGTGACCCCGAGAAGATTGTATTACAAATTCCAGCCATGCTGGCTAAATTTTGAGAGTTGTAGTCCAAATAAGTAACTTCTCTAAACACTGCAATTATCTCAGAGTAGACTCCATTGAAAATAAAAAGGCTGGTTCCTAAGTAGAAGTTGTAGATGTAAACCTCTTGAAACTCAGGTAGTTTTACTATGTTGGGTGACAATTCAAATTGAAAATGCAGTCTTAAAGGGGAAATAAACTCTTCACAAAATGAATCACAAACTATAAGCATACAGTCACACAATACATAATTTAGACTCATATCACTTAGATATACTATTTAAGCGTAAAAACACTTCTGTTAAAAGCAGTAGAGTTGGTGGTATTGTGTTTTAAACTGGTTTGCACATTATGTGTGCCTTATTCGTCCAATGGCTGTGTTTACATGTAACGCTAAGCCCATAGAAATACTAAGCCATGTAACACCAAACCATATAAAGACAAGCAGAGTAAGCCTTGGAGTGAGGCACTCCTCTCCTCCGGGACAGTTTTAGAGTACCATCATCTTGACTTGCATGATTTAGGATTGGGCCAGTCTCCTATTATATACAAAAAACCTTTGTTTTCACTAGTTATAGATCAAACACTGTTTAGTTTAAGAGTAGTTTTAGCTCTTAATCAAAAATAAAGCAGAAGGATCCAATTTCCTCTTGACTGCTGAACAAGAACCTGAATTTTTAGCATTTATGCAAACTAGGCTTATCAATATTTAGTGACTTCCAAATGAATGTGTTCTGCTTCTCCATCATGAAAAAGCATGAAGTGACTTGAAAGTACTTCCTGGGATCATCTGTGATGCAGATTGGGAATTCCAAACATCAAATTTCAAATATGCAAGTGTGAAATGACCTTTTGCCAAGTATGTTTACTATAATATTAACCTACTGGAATCAGGTATCTTTTGCCACATGAAAAATTCCATTGTTGCAACAGTATGACACACAACATAGAGAGAATACTGGTTAAACAAACTGAGATATGTCATTAGTAAAAACTACACAGTTTTGTCTAGCTTTCGGTGGTCTTAATTCAAAGCAAATGTAAGTTTTGAATGCAACTCATGTATTTTGTTTAATTTTTTTTGTCGTGTCAGGAGCGACTTGAGAAACTGCAAGTCGCTTCTGATGTGAGAGAATTGGCAGTCTGCAAGGACGTTGCCCAGGGGGACACCCGGATGGGTTTTTTTTATGTTTTTACCATCCTTGTGGGAGGCTTCTCTCATGTCCCCACATGAGGAGATGGAACTGATACAGGGAGCTCATCCGCGCTCTCCCTGGATTCAAACCTGCGACCTGTTGGTCTTCAGTCCTGCCGGCACAAGGGTTTAACCCACTGCACAACCGGGGGCTCCATATTTTGTTTAATGACACTTTATAACATAATTTAATAAATATTGATAGGGTGATTAAACTATCATTGGAATCCTGTTGCTTAGCCCCAACTACAGTAGCTCAATAGGATCAATTCAATGTTCACTCAACAGCTGGAACAACAAGAAGATTTGGTCTAATATTTGAAACATTTTTGAGCTTACATAGATAATCGTTTACTAAGCATACAATGGTTTGCGTATAATTACCAAAGGTACATACAATGGAAAGCCAATTGCCAAGTGGCAAGGGAGAAAAAACCAATGTCAAATGGAAATATATAGTAAATGATATTATTTCTCATTCAGGTGGGTTTCTAAATTTACAAGGAGTTCATCGTTTTCCAGAAATATATTAAACTGGGTAGAAAAGACCAAATGGCATATGAAGTTTATCTAAAAGAATAACTTTCATCATCATATTCCAGTTCATCTACTTCATCGTCCTCTAGAAGTCCATATTTAAATTTGCGGTAGACTGTGCCATCTTGACCCATATAGACTATGTCATCATCGTCATCGTCGTCATCATCTGCATCTCGGTCCCTGTATTCAATCACTTGATCTTCTTGATAGCTGGTGCTCTGGAAGTGGTTACTTTTGAAAGAACTGAGTGTCTTTGCATTATCTGACAGCTTCTCATATCCACCTTGGTTGCTTGGCTTGGCTTTGGCTCGTGAACGTCTCCAGATGAAAACAACAGCTCCAGTGGTGATGAACAACAAAATGAGCATGGCCACAACCAGAGCTACAGCTTTGCCTTTTGCTTCTTCTGACAAGTTAGCACTGAGTAATATACACTCATCTGCAAAAAAAATTAAGAATAATTTTTAAAATAAAAATCATTAATATATTATATATTACAAAAGGAAATGAATAAAGATGAAAAATGTTTAATATACAATTGTATAGTAGACTCTCAGTTAACCAAAACTCCAATAACCAGAATTCTCAAACAACTGGCATAAAATCCCAAAGAAATATTTTAAATAAAATACATGGAGATCAATGTTTAGAAAACATCATGTTAGAAATATAGTTGGCTTTTATCAATGTGTATGCCTAGCATCTCCCCTTATGAACCTGCTAGGACTTTAAGATCATTCGGAGAGGCCCTGCTCTCGTTCCCACTTGCGTCACAAATACGTTTGGCGGGGACAAGAGATAGGACCATCTCAATGGTGGCCCCTTGGCTATGGAATGCTCTTCCTAGGGACATTAGATTGACCCCCTCCCTCTTAACATTCCGGAAAAGAGTCAAGGTCTAGCTGTTCGAGCAAGCGTTTGAAAATGCAATGTAAAAGACATAAGAACTTGGAACGACTGGACTAGGAGATGGATAATGTTTTTAATTAGAAGATGCAAATGTCTTATGTTTTTATTACTTTTGTTTGGTTTTATACTATGTATTAATGTTCTTGGGCATCGAATCATTGCCTCTGTAAACCGGCATGAGTCGCCTGAGGGCTGAGAAGGGCAGTATACAAATATAGTAAGTAAGTAAGTAAGTAAGTAAGTAAAATAGCCCTTGTTCACATCCTATGTATAGCTCCTTTACTTTATTTCTCTCCCACCACATGATGTAGTTATACTTTTGAAATATCACGGAGGAAAAACTGTTAGATGTTGCAAACAGCCCTGATACCTCTTTAAAAAGAGTCATACTGGTTCTGAGGGTTTCCCAGAGAAACAGATGACTATCTGGGTAATTCTCGGAACTGGTATAGGGGGTTACGGGTCACATAAATCGCTTAGCAGGGTGGGGCATTTTGCCCCAGGGACACACTCTGCCCATTTCTGGTTTCTAATTTCCTTTTTGCACTCCATTGCTCAGTCATCTGCAGCACCTCCATCTCCAAAGATATGTCCGAAGAATATGTAACCTAAGAGGAAATCTCATCTTGATTGGTAAAATAATGAAAAGTTCCATTTACAAAGGCCCCTTCCACACAGCTGAATAAAACCCCACATTATCTGCTTTGAATTGTAATATATGGCAGTGTGGACTCAGATAACCCAGTTCAAAGCAGATATTGTGGAATTTTCTGTCTTGATATTCTGGAATAGTGGGCTGTGTGGAAGGGCCTAAAGACACACAATGGTGATCCCACTTTCACCTCCCTTTCTGCTCATCATTACCATGCATTTCACTGCAATCACAACACTCCTGAGTTTGCACTTCGGAATTCTTGCAGCATGGGACACAGCGATTCTGATCCAGGAGCAGCTTCATGTTAAGGTGACACACAGTGCAGTTCAGGGGACCAGGCCCCTTGCATTCCATGCAAGATCCATGGCAGTTTTCACATTGAGGTGGGTCCTTCATAAGGGAAACACAGACAGGATTTCAGACTTTTAGTTGTGGCAAATCCTACAAATAAATGGCCCTTAAAGATTGTGTGAGATCCATCTGATCAGGTTTTTATTGGGTAGGGAAGAATAATCCAAAGAATTAAAATATTCAAATCATTGAATGTTGTGAATGGAGGGGATGGAGTAGGGCAAAGCTTTCCAAACATGTTATGTTGGTGACAAATAATGCAGTTTTACTATCAAACCAGAGGTTAAACAAACCCCTTATAAGAGATACAGACAGATAGATGAACTGTGATAACAAAATGTATGGTACTCCAACATATGCCATGAAGACCTTTCATTTATACTTTTAAAATATATGATTTGTAAGGTAATAACATACATTTCCAATATTTTTGCCATTTCCCATTATGTTCACATGGCACACCTACACATTGGAGCTGACACACTAACATGTTGCAACACTCAGTTTGGAAAGCCAAGGGGTAGGGAGCACACAGTAATGTAACTCACCTAATTCACATTTTCTGGCTCAATGTACAGCTTGAAATGTACAATATCTTTTAATGTTTACATTTCTTTGAACTTTGCTTTGCAATTCCCTAATTTAAAATTGTGCTAAACTTGTATTCCCTCTCTTTCCCTTTTAAATAAAAAGGTGGAAAACAAAGCAACTAACCCCCCCCCCCTTCCTGCATAACAAATCAGCTGTCATGATCTCTAAAGAACTGTGTGGGCAACCATGCCATAAAGCAATCAAAGCTTGTTTGCCTTATAATATAATCTAAGTTTTTCTTTCAATGTGTAATGAGTAAATACCTCTGAGATTTTGTATTTCCCCAGTAAGCATTCTGAGTTGCAGATGCCAGCAACAAGCTGATAACTCCATACACAGGATGTGCAGCTGAGTGGTCCTTTTCCTTAAAAGCAAAATAATTTAAAAAAGATAATATGCAATTCAGTTAATAATGCTATTACGTCAGCCCTGTAATTTTCAGTCTTTGAAAATCAGGAAACCATCTAGTATTTGTAATACACGGTTTTCACATTTGTAACAGCCCAAAAGGATTATGTATTAGAAAAATAAAGATGTTAAATACAGGAAAAATATTTCCATGGAATCATGGTATTTTGAGAAGAATTAAAACAAAGTGTGACCCTGAAAAGTTTTAACCTCCTATATGGATGCTTTCCATGTTGCTATAACTTCTATTAGTCCACAGCCTTATCTGGGTAGTTTGATCCTAAAATAACATTATATTGTGTAATATTTTCAGTAACAAAGATAATGGAATAAAACATCAAGAAGTATAATGACATCATACCCTCATTTTTCACAGATAAAAACTGAGACATGTGGCAGGCAACATCAGAGTGTGGTCAATATGGCAAAAGTTATTAATCAGGAAACCACACCAGCTAGAGAGGCTACAGAAGTTTGCTTTTTTATGAGCTGACTGGGAAAAGCAACTTTTCATCCAGTCCTCTTTTCTCCCCTTACTAGGGGCATATCTGAGATGATTACTTGGCATGGTCATCTTGCATTCTCTGGGTTTGGGAACCCTGGGAGGTCAAGGGATGGTACTTAACTGTCCCTCTCCCTATCCTTGTCATAATGGCCAGTGTGAACAGCATGGATAAAGTCAGATATGGTCAATGTCAGTTGCTCATAACCTGGCCAGAGTCACAAGACAATTGGAGAAGGGCRATTCCTCCCCTCCCCCTCCCCACTTTCATGTTGCTCTGGCACCCTAGTCAACTTCAGGTGATGACTGAACAAGACTAGCCATGTGATGCCTGCTGGAGACAGTGGCAAGGAGAAGGGTGGGAGACAGGTGCTAAGAATGGCTGTCTGCTGGTGCCAAAACAAGTCAGGTTTCCCTCCCATCTCTGCAGCAACTGGGGTGGGGTAATGGTCTAAAGCATCCCAGGGACATTCCAGTATTTTCCACTCCTTCTGAGCTTTGAACCTACTTTGAAAGAACTGGTGTCAACTGAGGGCAAAAGTGGAAAATAGGAGGAGGAGAAAAAAACTGGAATATTTTTAAAGCAGTTCAAAAAGCAGCATGACAATGGATTAACTGGGACTGTCCCTGCCAAATTGGGGCAGTTAAAGGATATGTGGTATGGTATATGTAGAGTATTAGCCGAATGCAGGCTATGGGAAAGTTTTTAACATGTAACTAGACACGAATGCCCCTTCTTAATTCACAAAACCAGAGTTTGAATTGGTTTTCTACGTTGTTGGAGTACAATTCTCCAGACAACAGGATTTCAAGTTCTATATAAACATTAGCCAGAATCATGTTGGGCTTTTACTAATATGTAACCATGATAGTTACAGAGCTATGACACCTCATAGCTCTGTGACTATTATAGTTACACATTAGCAGCTATCTAGCCATCCCTGATTCCCAGTTAATGGTAAACACAGATCAATGGGTATCTGACTCACATTCCCATTCTTCCCATCTAGTGTCTCATCTTACCATTGCAAGTCAGACAAGTTGGATGGCACCTTTCACAGGTATGTTTATCATTGTCCCCATAGTAAGATTCAGGACAGGACACGTGGCATTCATTACTTGAACCCAACAAGAAGAAACCTTCATCACAGGACATACAGTCAGTAGGAGCAGGTCCCAGGCATTCCTTGCAGGTTTTGTGGCATCTCTCGCAAGTGCCAATAACATTATTTGCATAGTACCTAAAGCACAGAACAGTACAGAAACATATTATGTGAGAGAGATTGCTCTGGATTTTGCATGCCAACATTAGATATTGGCCTTTACTTGTGTTTTGTAATAGCAATTTCATTCATTCATAGTTCTTATTCTCAGATTTTCATACAAAACGGAATATTGACTTCCAAATATTAATAATAGAAATAGGTAAAAATCCAATAATATCATAGAAAAAGAGAACAAAATAATACTTTTATCCTCTAACTAGCCCAACACCGGGAAGTGGTTTTAACAGAGATGTGGTAACATATTAACACACAAATTGTTGCTTGTGAGCCCAATGGCAGAAAGTTCTTTCAAGACAGATGTGGTAACATATTCCTACACAACCAGTTGCCTACCAGTAGCTGGCCTGCAGCTCTATGGGCTACTTGGCATGCCAAGCACTTTAGAAAAGATGTTTGTGAACTGGTCTGGCTCAACACTTAGCTGTCTGAAAATTGTAATAGTTTCCTATTCCATGTATACAAGCTAACCTGAATGACTACTTAATCTTAAATCAACATTAAATCAATGGGACATTGTCCTCCAACCATAGGTGAAGGTCTTTGATCACTGTTTCTTACCCTACACAGCATCTGCTCCTTGAGGCAGCTGCTTTGCTTTGTCTCATAGTAGTGCAAGTCCTGCTTGTGAAAGAACACTGGGTGAAGTGTGTGAGGTATTACTTTCCATACGCTTCTGGGAAAGATGGCTCAAGAATGGAATTTCCACATCTTGGCCAAGTCAGACATGTCTGAGCCAATATCCTAACTCATAAATTCATAAACTAAATGTTATATGTAATTGGATTGCAGGTAGTTATTATCTGGTTCTTTTCCTTTCCTTTTTGATTGTCAGTTTTAGTCCTGGATAGTCTCAGGATGTACTTCTCATGGGAGATGTTGTAGGGAGAGAGAGCACTAACTTCAACCTCTATCCAAATAAGCTTATTATTATTATTTTTATTTTGAGGATCTTACCCATTGGTGCAGATCTGAACACATCCATTTTCTTGCTTGTACCATCTGGGTGGGCAGGAAATGCACTGTGTGCTGTGTTTTCCATAGCAAGTTTCACAGGTCCTGTGGCAAGCATGGCACTTATTTTCATCATGGTCTGCGTAGTATCCATCTGGACATGTTTCAACACAGGTTGCATCTGCAGGATGAAGACCATGAAATAAACTAGTGTTTCCCCACCAAGTGGATGAAACATTAACAGAATCTGACCTGAATTCAGGTGTCCACATGTGTAAATGTTTCGTTGTTGTTGTTGTTGTTGTTGTTGTTGTGGCCTTCAGGCTTTTTCTGTCATATGGTAATTCTAAGGCAACCCAGTCACAGGGTTTTGTTGGCAAGGTTTGTTTGGAAGAGCTTTCCCTTCCTCTGAAGATGAGAGTGTGTGATTTGCCCAAGATCACCCAGTGGATTTCAGGCTTGAAATGGTATTTGAACCTGGTCTCCAGAGTTGTAATCCAGTGCTCAAACCACAACACCAGACTTTCTCTCTAAGGACTACATCACACCATCCAGTTATTGTGTTGCAATTAAGTTTAAACAAATGGAAACACACCTAATTGGAACAATCACTTTCATTCCTTGGCGCAATTCTGCAATGTTAACATGTTGTTGGTGCGAATTCCTGCAATTAGCCTTCCACACATTACTGCACAAGGAAGAGTTGCAGAACCATAGTAAAATTGGATTCACTGATAGATTTTTCCCATCAATGAAAAGGGATAATTCAATCATGATTCAAACACAGTACAACTATGGGGCTTCTTTGATGTTGCATAGTTAGCATCATCCAAAGGTGCTTTTTTCTTGCCATAATTGCACTTTATCAACCTTGTGTGATAAAGTCCTAACTGTCCCTTGTATATGCAGATGTAATCTTTCTCCACACAGTGCTCAAAGTAGGTAAAGGTTTTCCCCTGACATGAAGTCCAGTCATGTCCGACTCTGGGGTGTGGTGCTCATCTCCATTTCTAAGCCAAAGAGCCGGAGTCGTCCGTAAACACCTCCAAGGTCATGTGACCAGCATGACTGCATGGAGCGCCATTACTTTCCTGTCCAAGCGGTACCTATTGATCTACTCACATTTGCATGTTTTCAAACTGCTAGGTTGGCAGAAGCTGGGGCTGTCAGCAGAAGCTCACGCCGCTCCCCAGAATCGAACCTGTGATGTTTTGATCAACAAGCTCAGCAGCTCAGGTTTAAACCCACTGCGCCACCAGGGGCCCAAAGTACCTCTCCCAAAAACAAATCTCCCACAGGCATTGTGTGTTTCAAGTTGGGCAGGCAGCATTGAAGAATAGTCTGACACCCCCCCACCCCCCACCCCCCACAAATACACAATGATTACAAAGCTCTGAAACCCCTGGAAACATAGAATGACTGTAGAAATGAGACTGAGATTTACTGTAAGACTCTCTGTGTTGGGATATGGCTTAGAATAGCACAGAATCACATGCAGCTATTTATGCTTTGTTGAGTGGCTATTGAATTGAGTCCACTGTTTAAGAGGTAATGTAGATGCTTTATGGTTAGAAGACTGATTTAGCTGCATGTATCTGGGTTCCTGGAGGAAGATTTTCCAAACTCATCCCTCTAGCAGTGGTATGGAAAAACTATGGCTCATGGGGCTCCTTCCTCTGGCTCACGAAGGACAATGAGGAAATAAGGAAAAGGAGCTGAACTCCTCAGCAGCAGCAGTGGTTCCTCCAAGACACCCTCTCCCCTCTAGAAGTGAATCTAGCTCCTTCATGCCAGGCCACGAGGCCGAGAGGGAAGGAGAAAAGCCCACTGAGGGGACACAGAGAAGGCAGGTCCCAGCTGGGGAAGGGAGTGGTGGTGTGGCTTTTTGTGAGGCTTGTGTTGTTTGCAAAAGTTTTACAAGTGGGACAAAGTTTACATACTTTTTTTGCACTACAAATGAGATACGTGCAGTTTTTATAGGAATTTGTTCATGTGGGTTTTTTTTCCTATTTGTTAACACAAACAGTCTCCATTCATTTGCCAGTGGCCTGGCCTGTTTGTCATATTTGAAGCTTAACTCATTCTTTGACCATGTTCTTAAGTCCAAACATTCTTATCTCAAAGTGAATTTCCCCATTAAAATGCATTCAAATGCAGTTAATCCGTTCTGCCCCCCCCCCCAAAACCATCCCATTTTTGTTATGTGTTTTTAAATAAGAAAATGTACAAATAATGTATAAAATATTCAGAGATAGGAAGTGCTTGTTTCCATCCAGCCACAGTGACAAGGAAGCACATTTGAGGCAACAAAATGTGTTGGCAAAATATGTACAGCAAGGCAACACAACATCGTTTTCTTCCTAATGTAACTCCAGCCCTCCTCTCTTACTCCCCCTCTCTCCCTCTCTCTTCTTGAAGGGAAACATACAGTACTAGCTCTTTAGGTTGAGGCTCTGCTGCACCAGGGTGGAGTGCAATCTTTGGAGTAGAATCTCCAGATTGGACTCCTCTCAGAATGTTCAGGGGAAGCAATCACATGGAGCTGGAGTTTCTGCCTTGCAAGAAGAACCAGTGTTACTCTGGCTAGGCATCCAGTTCAGGTTTTGTTTCTCTCTGCCTTGCTGTTAGAACTGGTTTAGGGGGCAAAGAAGCCCCTTTTGCACTGTTCGTAGGTTAAAACAGTGTTCTGATGTCAAACATCACTTTAGGTTAAGTTAAGATGTACTTATGTTCGGACATTCTTATGTAGGGGTTCTACTGTATAGGAGTTTGCAGAACTATGATTTCCTGGTTAGGACTCATCAACAGGTTATAGAAGTGATTAGGCTAAAATGCTATTCACTATTAGGAGAATGTCTCTTTTGTTCTATAATCAATCCTCTACAAAAAAATGTTATGGGTAGATTCCCCCAAATGTTTTGGGCTCATGTCCTTCCCAGAATACAGTATTCTTTGAATTGATTGCCCAAAGTAATTGCTGTAGATTTAGCAACCACCGGTGGTGCAGAGTTAAACCCTTGTGCTAGCAAGATTGAAGACCAACATGTTGGAGGTTTGAATCTGGGAAGAACATGGATGAGCTCCCTCTGTCAGCTTCAGCTCCCCATGAGGGGACATGAGAGAAGCCTCCCACAAGGATCGTAAAACATCAAAACATCCAGGTGTCCCCTGTGCAATATCCTTGCAAATGGCTAATTCTCTCACACCAGAAGAGACTTGCAGTTTCTCAAATTGATCCTGACACAGAATAAAAAGCAGCCATGGAGATTGTTTCCAGACTATTTTTCAGCAGCAGAAACTAGGTTGGTCATTACAATATATATTAAAGATGGAAAAGAAAACCTAAGCCCAAAGACAGGGAAATGCTTACTGAGTAGATGCCAAGTTTTGGGACAGCTGAGACACTCATTTTCAGCAGGTCCTGTACACTCCAAACAACTTCTGTGGCAAGATTTGCACATTTTGCTGTGTTCATCATAGTATTCAGTGTTGGAACAGTAATGTGGCATTGCGCAGAAGCCAGTATCAATCATTGAGAGGCCCTCTTTACAGGTGAGGCAGTACATGGTGGATGAACAAGTTTGACATGTCCTGTCACACTCTGAAATGGGAAAAATCACAAATATTTTATCAGTTTTTAATCTTTATATGTTTTTAATATCTCTCCTTTCCTTCTAACAATGTTTCTAAGGCTGTCTGATATTGTCCAAGTACTGGAAAAGATCACTGGTTACCTTTGCCTTCTACTTAATCTTATTATTTCCCTAAAGAAATTTCTATAGAGATTTATATTTTATTTCACATTCACCTGTTCTGGAATGGAATCACTAATCCAAATCTCATTCAGTCTCTACATTTAAACTGGAAAAAATACCTTGGCATTTTCCACTTTCTTCATCGTAATACGTGCCATCTGGGCATTCTTCAGAACATCTGCCATTGTATAGAACATAGGAGAAAACAGTGGGGCAGTCGATGCAGTCATCAAATGCTGGCCCATCACATTCTTTGCAGTCTTCATGACAGGCAAAACAGTGGTTGGAGTCAGGAAAGAAGCCAGATGGGCAGTTCCGTAAACATTTCCCATTGTACAGATGATATGGTGGAATACATGCTTTCAATTAAAAAGGGAGAATATCTATCAGGTTTTGTGGAGAACATCCTTCTTTCTCCTACAAAGTCATTTCCATGCCCTAAGCCAATGGGATTTTGGCCTGCATCAATAAGAGTATAGTGTCTAGATCCAGGGAAGTCATGCTACCCCTCTATTCTGCCTTGGTTAGCCCACACCTGGAATACTGTGTCCATCTCTGGGCACCACAATTTAAGGGAGATGTTGACAAGCTGGAATGTGTCCAGAGGAGGGCGACTAAAATGATCAAGGGTCTGGAGAACAAGCCCTATGAGGAGCGGCTTAAAGAGCTGGGCATGTTTAGCCTGAAGAAGAAAATGCTGAGAGGAGACATGATAGCCATGTATAAATATGTGAGGGGAAGTCATAGGAAGGAGGGGGCAAACTTGTTTTCTGCTGCTCTGGAGACTAGGATGTGGAACAATGGCTTCAAACTACAAGAAAGGTGATTCCACCTGAACATTAGGAAGAATGTTCAGGTGGAATGACTGTGAGAGCTGTTCAGAAGTGTAACTCCCTGCCCTGGAGTGTTGTGGAGGCTCCTCCTTTAGAGGCCTTTAAAGAGAGGCTGGATGGCCATCTGTCAGGGTCGCCTTGAATGTGATTTTAAGGGGGAAAAAAACAGCTCAGCTCAAATATAACACAGTTTCAAAATACCATTCCACTCAATGGATTCATCTACACTGACCACATAGGTTAGTGCAGCTGGATCAGCCTTGTGCTAGGTTAAGCAAAGTCAAGAAAGTTTGAATCCTGATATCAGGTGGCACCAAACCATGTTCAGCACAGCTGGGCACCTGGGATTCCCTGCCACCTCTGAGGCAACGTGTCTTGCCACATGTGGGGCCAATCCGGTGTCTGGAATGCTGAATCAGCCCCACATTAGTGGTCAGTGTAGAAGGGCCCAATGACTAACATTGATTTTCTTTGGTACCTTTACATGAGCTTCCTTGGATGCATTCCTGACAATTCTCAGGGCAAGGGTGACAGACTCCATCAACAACAAAGTGCTTCTCTGAACATGCCAGTTTACATTTCCCTTGCTCTAGAAGGAAAGGACTCTCACATGAAATGCATCTGGTGGCATTTTCTTCACATGTGCTGCAAGATTTGCTGCACATTTGGCAAATCTCATGTTCAGCAAAATAGCCACTAATGGGGGAAAAAAAGATCAAGCAGTGGAACATGTTGAATCTGTCAGGGAATAATCAACAATAAATTCTCCTCCTCTTTCCCCTTGCTATTCCCAAGTTGCCTATTTTTCTTTTATTTACACTTTACATGTATATTTTCCTCCTTCTTTGTTTTTAAATGCCAGAGTTGCACTAAAAATAAATATAATAATAATTTTTAAAAAGAACAGTAGTAGCGCAAGAGGAGGGATTATGAGTGCATGTGGCAGTTTGATTGTGGAACTATGGTTTGACAAATTGGTGCAATTACAACACCAATGAAGAGAGGTATAATATTGAGAGTGCTCATTGTGGTATGCATGCACTATCAACAATAATACCACTATAGGAGAAGAGCTGGTTCATGTGATAAATGCTTATTATGTATGCTCAGAAATCAATATATCAAAAGAGCTAATTTTAACACTAGAATGCTTTTGTGGAAAAAGAGACATATCTGGGTAGAATATGCATCAATGAATATAAATAGGAACGTACGTAGGACACGTGTGCACACATTTGCCTCTGAACAAATAGCGGGGCATGTCTGAATCGAACAAACACTTCAGGCAGTAGCTGGGTCTTGAACATTTCTCACAGCCATCTGCACATTTCTCACACTGTTTGGTCTTCACATTGCCAAAGTGTCCTTCTGGGCAAACATGGACGCATGACCCAGCAGAAAGAAATCTCTCTGAAAACAATAAAGCAAATAAGAGGAATTAATAGCATGCTATGTAACATGCACTTGCTGTTATAGCAGTCAAGTCAAAAGACAGGTCAGGGAATAGGAATTCAACATATACTGGATGAGGTTGTACTCTCCCTAAAGAGGCAGGTCCACAACTTTTGTGTTGGGTTTCTGGAAGCTCAGGTTTCAGCAGTGGTCATGAATATACTGCACAGTTTAAGTATGTGCACCAGCTGGGCCCACCTCCTGAGACACCAGATCCAATGCCTTAGTTATAGCCCAGTTGGATTACTATAATGTGCTCTATATGGATTTGCCTTTGAAGGGTGTTCAGAAACTTCAGCCTATCTAAAGAATAGCAGCTATACTGCTAACTGGTGCAGGACAGAGACAGCACACCTATTGGAACAGCTCCACTGGCTACTGGTCTATTTCTGGGCACAACTCAAAGTGCTGACTTTGACCTATAAAGCCTTCCATGATTCAGGTCCAGGTTATTTGAAGCACTGTGTTCTCTTTTATAAACCAGCTCATGCAATAAGATCATGATGGAAGGTCCTCCTCTCTGTCCCACCACCCTCACTGGTAAATCTAATGGGGAAGGGCCTTCTCAATGGCTGCCCAGGTTTTGACACTTCCTTCTGAGAGAAGGTAGACGGGGACACTCTCTTCTTTTTTATGTCATCAAGTACAGAGTTTCATGAGTGACTCTATAATGATCTCACGTAAATACTACCATATATTGGTAATTGTTGTACTAGTGTGCAGGTCTGTTTCATGAAAATGAAATGAAATTCGACATGTTAAAATAGCACTCTTCACAAGTACAACTATTTATAAAAGAGTGCATAGCATTTTAGAAATTTTGGGAGACCTTGGTAGACGTCAATGAAAGGGGCAGGGCAGAGAATTATGATATTTTCCTACTGAATATAAAAATAAAAGCGAATTTTTTTGTGAACCTTTAAGTTCACTACACATATAATGACTGTCTATTGAGAACAGCAATGTTTCAAGTGCTTGTTGAAATGTTTATTACACAGATATTCTTAAGGAATATGCAGTGTAGTGGGTTCTCAGCATCCACTGGAATTTAGTTCCAGGTCCCTTCGGATACCAAAATGCATGGGTGCTCATCTCATCATATACAGTGGCATAGTAAAATGGTGTCATATAAAATGGCAACAGCAAGGCTTGCTCTTTGGAATCTCTTTGGGGGAGGCTATGAATGGTTGAATCCATGTATATGGAGGGCTGACTATATTCCAAATCCTCTTGATAATGCCATAGAGGTAAAGAGGCTAAATGTCAATACCTTTGGGGCAGGAAGTGCAAGTGTCAGCAGTTTCTCCACAGGTTTTGCATGAAGAATCACATGGTTGAAGAAACCAAGTAGCTGTTGATATAATGAGAGAGGGGCGGGGGGGGGGGGGGGGGGGGTGTCAGGTTGGTTATCTGTTGATATGCACAAAATCAAGGATCAGGAGGCCTTGCTCATTAATAAATGGGCATAAATATGAATAACACTTTAAGAGCAAAATCTCACCTTGGTTGTGTGACTGTGGCATTAAATAATATACTGCTGGTATATAATATAAAAGATCAAGTATGAAAGCTCTCTAGTAACTGACAAGTTGCACCTGCAAGAAAGCATCTCTTTGGCATTTTGTTATTAACTTGTTTAGATCACTTTCCACAATTAGCATCCTTGTTTCAAAATGTACACCAGTATATGAGCAATACAGATTTCTTGCACATTATAACACCTGTGAGCATAGCTTCTGCAGTATTTCCCAGCTTCCACTAGAGGGGAATATGTACTAGGAATTGAGGCAAATTCAAGGTGCACAAAATGTCTTCTAGACAGCCAGCTGTCTTCCAGACAGTTGTTACATGTTTCTCCTTAGAGTTTCTATTGATATGACCTATGTCTTAGTTTGCACAGCAACAAAAGATACAGGGAACAGCATACACATCTTTGCCAAAGGGAAGATCGGAAAACTTTCAGCATCATCGGGAAACAGATAGATATTCTACCCTTTCACATACAAAACTGTATATGTAAAGTTTTCTACTAGAGAGCATATCTTGGTGTAACAAAATATGCATCACTTTCACTTATACAGCATTATCTTCTCTTGAACTCAGCTGGTATCTCTGTTTGTATTGTATCAATACTCCAAGAACAGGTATTAAAGCCAAGGGGGGAAAGCTCTATCTGTATCTCCATGGGGAAATGGGGTTGGACCTATACTGCCATATAATCCAGTATCTGATCCTAGATCTGATTTGAACTGGATGATATGAGTCTACACTACCACATAATCCAGTTCAAAGCAGATAACTTGGGTTCAAATACTGGATTATACGGCAGTCTAGAAGGTGCCTAGAATTCAAGAAGTGAAAATTAATTTAATGATGTTGTCAAATGGCAAGGAGATATAATGGACATTAAGTGAGCAACTGATCTATTTTGGATTTATTTTTGAATAGCAAATTGAACAGCATTCAGGACTTAAACCACAGGGGTGTGTTTAAGTCTTAAAATCTGCTGTGTAAGAATGGCATTAACATCATAGATCTTAAAAGCAGCTAAATAAGATGGGCTAAATATTTTGTTAGCATAACTTCAATTGTTAGTCTCAACTAGAACAGCTGTTGAGTCAACACTTATGTCAGGATCATTTATTAGTTGTTCTACTTTAATTCAGACTAATGATTGGATTGATGTCATCAGTTTGCATAATTATTTGCATGTATAGTTTGCCATTCACATACTACTCCCAGTTACAACAGCTCATTGGCTGCCAGTTTGTTTCCAGACACAATAAAGTGCTGATTATAACCTATAAAGCTCTAAATGGTTCTGATCTGGGCAATTTGGCAGATCGTATCCCCCTGGCTGGATGCCAGGAGAGACCTTTCTCTCAGTCCCACCACCATCACAATCATGGTGAGTAAGGAAGCAAGAGGGGCCTTCTTGGTGGCTGCCCCTAGACTGAATCCTCCTCTCCCCAGAGGCCAACATGGGCAACACCTTGCTGTCTTTCTATTGGCAGGCAGGTAAAAGGTAAAGGTTTTCCCCTGACATTAAGTCCAGTCATGTCCAACCCTGGGGATTGGTGCTCATCTCCATTTCTAAGCCGAAGAGCCAGCATTCTCCGTAGACACCTCCAAGGTCATGTGGCCGGCATGACTGCATGGAGCACAGGCAACCCCCTATTATTTTGACAGCCTTTCAATACAAAAGGTTTTAAGAACAGGCTATGGGAGTGTTGTACTGCTTTAAACTCAACTATTTTAATTATTTAAATATTGTTTTATTAAGCCTAGTCTTAACTGATTTATTACTGTGAAAAGTTTAATTCTAATGTTCATTTTTTGTATTGTTTTAATTATATTGTTCCTTTTAAATTATATGCTGCTCTGAGTCCGAATTTTGTCAGAATGACAGTGGGGAAAGGTAAGAATAATGATAGCAATAATAACCTAGACCAAAGAATACTATCAATGTCAAGTCCCTCCTTTTCCCCATATGTGCATAAACCCAGCTCCTATGAACAGAATTTACCAGACAATAACACTTGTTTTCTTGTTATACAGTGTGGAATCAGCTTATAACTGTTGTTATGTACACAAACCATCTGTTTACTAAGTAGATTTACTATTTTTCACTGCTTGTAAATACTTCTTTTTATGCTTCATTGGCCAACATTTTTCTGTTGCAATGCATAATTCAACACTTGAAAGTGGCTGTTCGTATTAGATTGTTTGTTTTGTTTTCTGCTTCTTAATTGAAAATAAATTGACTGGTTGCAGAAAATATTTTTATTTTTTTTAATAAACTTTATTATAAATTTTGCATCCATAGAAAAACAGTTGGGGGGGGGGGATTGGGAAGGAAGAAAAAAGGTTAGGTAAGGATGGGTGTAAGGGGTATGATGGGGTACAGAATGAAAAAATATTTTTTGCAGTGTTTGTTTTTGAAAGATACTTCTTTCCTTTCGGAAGCAAACTTTTTGATAAAGTCAGGAATGGCAAAGAAAGGGTACTGCTTTGTAACATTAGAGCAACAAACACATGATTTAAGAAAGTAACTTATTTTGTTAGGATAGAAAGTAACATGGATGTGACATGAATATGCTACTTTTACAATTGGGCTATCTTTTTGTTGGACTTCATTCTGTTTATGGCTTTAAAAGCCCCAATACAGCCGCAACTACAAATGCACATATATCTAAGAAATAATCATGTCAATATAGTGAGGTATAATGGGAAATACACACACACACACACACACACACACACACCCTTCATATGCAAAGTACAGGAACGTTTCTAGACTTATGAGAGTTATAAATCTGAGCAAACCATAGAGTAGTTAAGAAGTAAATCATATTCCCATGCATATACTATTTTTTAGTTTACCTATCATTCTGACAGGCAGAATATTAATTTAACAAATGAATGCCTAAAATACATGCGAACAACTCCAGAGGGGATGAAGCAAAATATCGGCTTCACCTGACTTTGGGGATAAATAGGTAGCTGAGAGAAATTTTGTTTTAAAGGGTTTACCACCACTTCTCCTTGATGCTAAAAAACTTTCTGCAGAATTGTCATTTTTACCTAGATTATAAAATCAGTAAGCATAAATATGTTGTGATTTACACTAACCCGTGATCAATTGACTCTGGAGAGGTTTAATGTACAATTATCTAATTCATGGAGGAATGGACAAAACTTAAATTTCTAGTACAAAATATATTTGCAAGTTCAGATACAATATGATTTGAGACCCAATCCAGAACCCAGCAGACTGCAATAAGTATCCCATACTTCATCTTCGTGTTTGCAACTGCCCACAAACTTGACCTTAGAAACAATGGACTACTGTATCCATCAGGGAGCATGCTATCTGAGAATCCTTGGAGCTCTAGTCCAAAAAGTTACAGTTCCAAACCATATTCTATTTAGACAACTGTTGTGTATCTGCAGAGGTATCCTATGCCATGGCAACGAAGGCTCTAGGGTTTACATAGTGCAATCTAACAAGGGAATGACTTTTAAAGGCCAAAACTTAGCAGAAAAATAGATTATATGTGTGCATATATATTAACTGGCACTTGACATTTTCAGGTTTAACTTTTGCATATTTGATTAATATGCTTTTGCTAAGAATTTCTGGATCTTCTATGGTCAGCTTCCACCAGAAGTTGGCACAACTTCTACTGAAAGCTGACCACGGGGTCACACTATACCTAGAGATTTCTAGAGAAATGTTTCTCTAAAAAATAATGCTTTTTTATTTGCAGTATTTCCATTTTAATGGCATTGCTCTGCTGCTAATCCCAGCAAAGGTGGAAAGTTGACTATATATAACTATATTTGATCCTGGAATCTGAAAGAGAAAAGTATCTATCTGAAATCTTGAATAACTGCTGCAATGTAATAACTCCAAAGTTTACCTATTTGATTTCCTATTATTATTATTATTATTATTATTATTATTATTATTATTATTATTTCAATGGCTGGACCAGGAACTGTTGGGGGTGTTTTGACTGTGCTTGCTTTTTCTGCCAGGTGGAAGAGGGTTGGAGAGTACGGCTCCTGGGATCTTCCAGTGGAAATAGTACTTTTAAGTTTATATTGTTTAAAAATAAGTGGATGTGCAAATCTTTCTGAACTTGGGAGGAATGATGTCCTGGTTATGTTGCATCATTAAAAATAGAAACTCAAGGAGATAGTTTTTATAGTTTTTCTTTTAAAAAATGTTCATAAAAACTTTTTAAATTCCCAAAAATCAGTGAATGAGTGAAATGTTCTGAAACTTTGAGTCCCCCCCCCCAGGGGTGAGAAAGGTGATATATAAATAGTGTAAATAAATAAATAAATAAATAAATAAACTTGGGGGTGGGGGTGGGGGTAACAGTGGTAAATGTGTTCTACTATTGTAGCAAGTTTCATCCTGATAGCTTGAAAAATGAGGGGGAAAGGAACCCTGGAAGCTTCCTCCCTTGCTCAATTACATAACAAAATAGTAACAAAAAAATTGTTATATCATTATAATTATGATACAGACTCATAACAATGATTTACTGCAGCCCGTAATTTAGTAATGAGTATTGAAACCTCTTTTCATTGATTGCACAGATCTAGTGGTTAGTGTTAACACTGAGATATTATCTTTCTGTATTTCATTAACATAGTTAGAATCCAAATGTCTTATGAAGGACCTGGCCTACTGAGAACCAGAGCAGATCCCTTCTGCTTTGGTACATCATGGTTGATCAAAAACACCACAGTACATATTTTGTTCTAATTCATTACATTGATTGGGCCAAAAGTACTTCAGTGGTAAACAGTGATAAATCAATTGTGACTATAGTTTCCCAATAGGAAATAGTACTATGCACCACTTTCATTCCAGATCAAACCTCACCCAGGTCCCACTATTATAGAAGAATATTGACAAGCTGGAACTTGTTCAGAGGAGAGACATCAAGGTCACAATAGGTCTGGAAATCAAGCCCTATGAAGAACTTCTTAGGGAGCTATGTATTTTTAACTTGGGGAAAAGAAGGTTAAAATAATCATCTGTAAATAATAAGATATCTACAAGAACAATGCCCCTCAGTTTTGGGGGCTTCAGACACTTTGGACTTCAATACTGGATGTTTGAGAACCACTAATGCAGAAGATGGAGGAAGCTTGCTTTGTCCTGTTCCAGAAACTAAAACAATGCATCCAGTTTTCAAGAAAAGAGATCCACTTAAACATTTGGATGAACTTGTTAACTGCAAAAACTGTTTGATAGTCAAACCAACTGCCCCGGAGGATGGTGGACATTCCCTCTTCAGATGTCTTTTAACAGAGGTTGGAGGGCTTTGGGGCATGTTCTAGTTTTGTATTCCTGCATGGTAGGGGGTTGGATCGGATGGCCTTATGGTCACTTCTAATTCCATGACATTGTGATGATGATGATGATGATTAATTCATACTCCACTTTTCTCTCTCACAAGGAGACTCAAAGCAACATTGTGATTGCATGATATTTGTTGTCCTATCCACATCTTTGTTTGGAAGTTGCTGAAATGTGAGAAGAGTGGGTAGAAATGTTCAGTTGACACAATATTGCAGAATGCCTATATTGTAGAATGTTTCCCATGTGGATTACATCTTAACACAGAGGACAAAAATATATTGTTCTGATGCACAAGGGTTAAAATAAATTTTGCGAAAGAAAATGCTCGGTGAAAAGATAAATATCACAACTGCTTTTAAAGCAGAACTTTTGAAGGCACATCAAGTTGATTTTTAAAAATTCAATACAGTAAATTTGACATTTCAGAAAAGAGCATCTGACGTGAAATACTTCTTGCATTTTTATTTTTAAGAAAAAAGGTTTTTGAAACCAGCTGGAGAATATATATCCCTCTGAATTTTTTTCAAGAATACATATTCTACTGAATTTATATTCTCTTTTGCTCTCTTCCAAAAAAAGTATTTTTGATTCTGTGGCTTGACTGAAGAACATAAAAGACTAATGATGCCGCAAGTTACTCAGTGACAGTAATAAAGCCCTTACATCTTATTAAACAGCTATTCTAGCTGTGTGTTAATATACAGTGAATCAAGCGCTTTGCAATTATGTCTCCTGGCTTCCAAAATCATTTCATCATCTCATACACAAGACATAATACAGATGTTCTGAGCTTCACTTATTGGTCTTTCTATCTGTGTTGGCTTACACATTTTTTAAAAAAGCTTTAGAAACCAGATAAATTCACACTCCTTTCTTGGTTTGCTGTCATAGCACATTCACAGTTATCCTAATTTGGGACTGAATTACTTAACTCCCCACCGTCTTCCCAATGAGCATGCAAGCCTGGAATGCTATTAAAAATGGCATGCTGTCTGACTTTGAGATCTGAAAGTAAGTAAAATTTCCCTTCTTGTGCCTCCACCAAGCCCCAAACAAATGATCACTTAAGAGTACGACAAAAAAAAAAATCATACTTGCACAGATAAATCAACAGTAATGCAATTATAAAGTGGTTGCACAACATCACCTTCAGAATAAAAAAAATCAACTTAATTGACTTTAATAGCTTCTAACGCTGGTTAGGATAAGATGAGCTGAATCACAGTAGCTGGCATTTGGAATCTTTATGATTGACGAATCTGCCTAGTCCTAGGTCATCAGTACTGACAGAAGAACAGAACTGGCAGTGGTGGGATCTGTATGCCTACAGTGTTCCTCAACCTTCAGCTGGGTATAAATACTTCCTGTTTAAAGTGTTATGCTTGTCCAGGAAAGTCTATCTTGTGTACTGGAAAATGCATTCCATCCTTGGTTAACATAATTTAAAAATAGATTTTTAAAGTCTTACGTTGTCTCCGGACAATTCTCAGGCTTGGGTTTTGGCGAACTTCCAGGGGAAGAGGCATCTGAACCTGTGGGGCAGCCACCGAGAACGCCTCTTTCAGTGCCCTTTCCACCCGGATTTGGTGCATGGACGGTACCGTCAAGAGATCGTTCTCGGCTGGCTGTAAGGATTGCGATGGGAGATAAGGCAAGAGGTGGTCTTTCGAGTGTGCAGAGCTCAAGCCATTTGAATTGAGCAGCTTCAGTCTCTCTATCAGTAAAATAGGATTGAGAACAGTTATTCATCTTTATAAAACAGAACAATGACCCCAAAGAAGGTACAATTGTTATGTATTAAGATTTATTGATTGGCTTGTATATATTTGATACATTCTAATCAAAATCATGATAATTATTGTTTTAGCTATGTAAGTAATGCTAACTGCAGGTAAATTTTGGAATTTACACAGGTCAATCAGATTGATTTAAACAGCCCAGCATTTCATCTGAAACCCCCCAATTTGTTTAGACTACTTAGAAATGTGCTCCTATTTAAGTTCCCAATTTTGATCTACAGTATGGTCCCATATTGTGAGCAATATGTTTCCAGACTTTCTATGATCAGTGAAAAATAATGGATAATACAAATCTTATTGAACTAATTTCTTTATCATGGAAGCAAACCATAGAATCACACTGGAAAACCTAGGAAATGTCCAGATTTTTTGCCAGGTACAGGCAAATAAAACCGCAGGTATTAGACCACAGATACATGAGTCATGGTGTATGTTGAATTCAACCAAAGATTTTAAAATGTATTAAATTGGTTAACTGATGTATAGGGAGAATGTGGTTCTCAGATGGATGTGAGTTCTATACTTCAGTTTTGCATTTACATCACTGGTCAACACACATTTTGGTGCCTCAAATGTTAGACATGTTTTTGTGTGTATTTGACCTGCTGATTCCAAAAAATGGCACCAGTTTCCCCCTATCAGCTCTAGTTCCTGAAATACAGAACATATGCCATATACCAGTCTTCAGCTGTTCACCCATAACAAATCATGATAACCATGTCTAAGAAATAAGAGCTGATGTGATCTACGCAATGCAATTTTCTGAACCAGTGCCCCAAATAACTCCAGGAACAGGCCTAAAATCCAAGACAACAAGAATGTTCTTGCGTATGTGTTGGGTTATATAATTTCAAAACTAACTGGAAAGGTTATTTTTTATTTCAAAAGGGATATCAAAGCTTTTTTAAAAAATAATAATAATCTGGAAGTAGGTTAGGTAACCAAATGATAGGGTTAAGTTTGGAAACACTTTTGATCAGGAATGTAATTCTCTTTGAACGTCACTGCTGCAAAGCATATCCCAGAACAAAATGGAGAGATGCAAACAAAAATGCCATCTGCACTAATGAAATCCTGTATACGACACCGGTGACTTAAAATGTAATTCTTAATTAAGCTTTATCTTGAAGGAGACAATAAGTAAGTGTAGAAATTTTTGTCTGAAAACTGCCATTTTTTATCCCCTCCCCCCACAATTTAGGACTTATTCTGTGCTAAATTTGCATGTGATTGATTCAAACAGATAAGAGTGTTTCTGTGCAGTATATTATATTCTGTGAAGAAAAAGATGTTTTCTATGAAAATCAATCACATGTGAATTTTGTGCAGAGTAAGAAACAGTGTCTTTCATGCAAACAATGACATTTCTGTGCAGAAAAACATAATACTTTCTGTGCAGAAAATGCTGCACAGAACAACTGCATACAAGTTTGGGCCAAATAAATCCAGAACAGTGAAAACTCCTGTCAGTCTGAGGTTTATCTTCTCCTGATTTATTGATACTTGAAAAAGTGAGGGGGTTGACCTATTTTATCTACAGTGCATCCTATATACTGCTTTTGGGGGGCACTATGGAAATAATTGTGCACTGCTTGCAGATCCAGCCATTCTATGCGTAGGCCTTGCTTTGTGTTTATGGCAAACCCTCCTCCGGCATTCGGACCAGCAGTTATCCAGGACCAGCATGACTGCTGATAGTTTTCTGTCAATCGATTAATCTACATTTCTGTAAATAAAAACCACACTGGGAGTTTGGAAAAGAGTGATTTGCTTACTGTCATTATGGGTGCTGGTAAATTAAAATTAAAACAGTTCAGAAAAACTATGGCAACATACCATTCCAGAATTTCCCATTTACTTGTTTGTTTTTGGGATTCACACACTTTCCATGAAATAACTGTAAATTTCCTTTGCAACTAGTGCAATCATTGTAGCTGAACCCTTTGCATGTTGTGCAGGTCCTGTGGCATGGTTCACATTCCTCTGTGACCTCATCGCTGTAGAAGCCAGCTCCACAATCACTCACACATTTCCCATCTAGAACACAAATAGAAAGCCTTTGTGTCAATACTACCAGTAAGTACAGTTATTTAATGAAATGAAAAACAGCACACTGAGTGTACGTATTTGCAATTGGTGACCCTATGGAATGTATGGACTAAGTTTGCATTTGTACTGTTGACTTATTCAATAGTGTACAGAGTACATTTTGAAGAAAATCAGAGCACCCTCTCAGTCCTAGGACAATTTATGTTTTCTTAAGTTTCTCTAAAAGGCATGCACATAGCCCTAGATTTCAAAACTAGGTCTAGAAACTCAAAATTCCAAAGTTCAGCATATTTTAAACTACAGAGGGCAGATTTGAAGAACAATTTGTTTAATTCTCCAGTAACATTTATGCAGGATCATAGTAGAAACCTTATAGACAAATGATGGTTCCCAAGACAATAATTGCTTATATAAATGATCTTATTCTTTGAAAACAAAAAAGGCAACGCCAGGAACCTAAATTGCTATAGAACACTTGTCATGGCACACCCGAGCCTATGGGAAAACAATATTGTATGGCTTTACTCGGGGGCTATATGTATACCTTCTGTTAAGTTTAAGACCCTTAGCAGACAGATGCACTTTAGGCAAGGTGAAAAGATAACCAAATGGGTTTACTGAATCAAGATGAATAAAGGGTTAACTCCATCATGGACCATCATAAGGTAACTTAAAACAATACATTACAAAAGGAGAATTTGCTAGTTGCATTCGTCTTTCTGGGATTTTCTGCCCCTGATGCAAAGTGATGGATTATAAATCGTTGTTTACAAACTGTCTTAATCTTCTCTCCTGTGAAGCTTAGGCGGACCAAAAGCTTCTGTTGTCCATTGGACTGTTGGTATAAAATACTGCTAAATACTGCAGCAGAAGAATGTGCTAAGAATTCCTGTTTGGATTGCTAGGCCTAGGATTCCAAACAATATCCAGGCCTCTAAGGATCTACTACAGAAAGAAGGAGTCCAGCAAAGAGCTCTGTACAGGGAAAAGGAATAGACCAACTGAGACTGGCCTCTGAGAGGTGTTTTAAGCTCCACTCAGAAACTAATACAATGGAAGGTCTACACCATTGGGAAGGCCTGTAAACAGGGGGAACTGAAGCAGAGGAGAAGAAGGCATTTAAGTGTCTCTTAAATAAATGCACCCTTTTTCCATGGGAAAAATTTGAGAATGTTTTCAAGAGGATAATATATAAAGTACTTGCATTTTGCTTACCTAGAAGAAAAAAACCTTCTTTACACCAGAAGCACTCATATTTATCACAACTTCTGCAATTTGGTTGACACTCTATGCAAAGGAGAGTGCTTTCATCATTGTAGGTATTCTGAGGACAACTTCTATAGCATCGCTGATTGTACCTGGAGGCAAAAGAAACAGTTTATTTTTTGATGCTGGTGTTCTTTTTTTCTTCACTTGGCAGGACAGGAAAGGAAGGATAATGATGGATGGAACTTAATTGAAAAGAGAATGTATAATCCTCCCAGGAGTGTCCCACACAAACTGTAAACATTAACTAGGAAAGCTCTTCTGAACAAATCTTGCCAAAAAAAACCTGTGATAAGTTGGCCTTAGGGTTGCCACTGGTCACAAACAAAAACAACAACAGCAACAAAACAGCAGCAGCAACAACAACAATGAACTTTAAAGCATCTATTAGCTTGCATTAAAACTTGGTCTGAATCATTACTATTGGCACAGAATTCATTGTTTTTAATGATAGTGTCTTAGCTTATCTCTTGTCATTTGAATAGCTCTATTTATTATCTATCTGTCTATTATCCAGCAGTTTATCGATCCTCCATTTATCTAATAACAAACCTTTTATCCCCAAATGGTACTCAAATTAGCAGAAGGAATTCACATTTACTTCTTACTTATTTCATGTTTATTTGCAATATTTGTATACCACCCTTCTCAACCCCGAAGGAGACTCAGGGCAGTTCACAGTGCCAACGTAACACTTTGATCCTTTTAGCTTTCCTCAGGAAGCATTGTTTTGTTTCAGAAAACAAAGGAATGTGCAGTGAATGGTGAGGAAGAGAGAGAAAGAGTGACTTACATATAATAACTGTGAATACATGATGTGCAGATCCTTGGATTGTCTGTAATTAAAAACAAATGACACATCAGAAACAAAATACAATGCCAGTCCAAGGTTTGATCAAACTGGCAATGAGAAATGGAGACACATTTAAGTAAAAAGAAAAAGTTATGATCTAACGACAGTGTTCTTAAAAAAGAAAGGATCCAGTGGTGGACACATGAATTGCAGAATAAATTGTACACACACACACACACACCCCAAAACTAGTTCCAGAGGACTTGGACTTGAAAATCATTTAGGCATGATTTTTCAAAGACAGAGAGGGTTGATGGTGAGAAGGGAACACTAGAACACTGTATTTAATTCAATGATGTGACAACGATGGCTGCAATTTGTGCAACGTTGGTGAAAGATGCATTCCTCAATATTATAGCACAAATATTTCCTATGTTATTTTTTAATCCAGTAGAACCTCACCTAGCTTTTTGCATAGTTCAGCGGATCAGCTGCATGGGGACAATGCACCCCCTGGATTCGAAAATTGTTGCTTCCCTGTAAAGAAAAGGCCCTCACATACAAATATTGGTGCTCAAAAGAAGAGAAAGACTCTTCCCAAATCTTAGTTGCCCTGCTTTTGAACCTACTGTTTTCCTGTCACCAGTAATGGTGAAAAACTAGTGGTTCCCCTGGCTATACTTAGGCACACAAAAAAGTTCGCTGGAGACCCCTAAATCCCACCAGGCAGCAGGGTTGGGCTGAAATTATACCAAGCTACTGAGCTCAGAAGTGGAATACATATCTTTTGCCAGAATGTGCGGTGACATAACATTTCTTATTCCCTAAACATTATGCCAAACACATTAGATATTTCACTGTTTTAAGGTCAGGCAGCTGGAGATTTCCGCTGAAATGATTAAAGACTGCTGAACCCTAGGTGGCAGAACACTCTGAAAGGCATCACTTTCTCCGATCTAATCAGAACTCTCTCACTCCCCATAGAGCTCCCATAATGCTAACACACTCCATTCAGTATTCAATCAGGGACCTGTTTTATTATATCATCTTCGCAAGTACATTGACAGCCCTTTTTGAGATGAATCCCGCTATCTTGCTGAAAGCAAGTCTTTAGAACTGTTACTACTACAAAGCAATTGGTTCTCTGAGGGTGCCAGAGGCAGAAGTAGGTATTGCTGTGTTATGTTTTGTATTAGACAAAATCATAGTCATCTGAAAACAAACAAATGGCAGCAAAACTGCAGGACATGCTTTGGCCATCCATATACCAAGCCTCCCCTTTTAAAATTTTGAATGAAATATTTTCTAGCCAAATTGGGAACTGCCTTCCTGGTGGCGCAGCAAAAGATAGTGACTGTGGATATGATAAGGCTGATTCTTTAGCAGAGCAATTCTCATCATTTGGCAGTTTATTTAATTCAGGGATGGACAAAATACAGCCTGTGGATGGATGGATGGATATATGTGTGTGTGTRTGTGTGTGTGTGTGTGTGTCTGTGTGTCAACTGCAAAATGACCTCTAGAGCAGAGTTTCTCAATCTGGGGGTTGGGAAACCTGGGGGGGGGGCACAAGGGGGTGTCAGAGGGGTCAGCAAAGACCATCAGAAAACATAAATTTCTTATGGTCTTAGGAACCCATTTGGCAGAGAAGGCTGAAGATCTTTCTGCCTGTCCTTCTCTTCCTTTTTGGAAACAGACGGTGAACCCTCCTGCCAAAAGTCCTCCTCTGCTGTAATTGGCCAGCCTCTCAGCCAAGTTGAGGGCTATCTATGAGACTCCAAGTGGGGAGGGGAGAGCAGGCATGCTCGGAGCATGTGCGGGTGAGGGAGAGCATGCGAGGTTGGAGGGATGCTCATGCCAGCGAGTCCCTTCAAGGGATGGGGGTTCTGTGTGGGAAGTTTGGCCCAATTCTATCACTGGTGGAGGTCAGAATGCTCTTTGATTTGTAGATGAATTATAAATCCCAGCAACTATAACTCCCAAATGTCAAGCTCTATTTCCTCCAAACTCCACCAGTGTTCACATTTGGGCATATTGAGTATTTGTGCCAAGTTTGGTCCAGATCTATCATTATTTGAGTCCACAGTGGTCCGTGGATGTAAGTGAACTACAACTCAAGGTCAAACCCTGCCAGTACTTTCTGTTGGTCACAGGAGTTCTGTCTGCCAAGTTTGGTTTAATTCCATTGTTGGTGGCATTCAGTTGTAGTTGCCAACCCAGCAACTACAATTCCTGAATGACAAAATCAATGCTGCCCCCCCAAACCCCACCAGTATTCAAATTTGGATGTATCTGCTATTTGCGCCAAATTTGGTCCAGTGAATGAAAATACATCCTGCATAACAGATATTTATATTATCATTCATAACAGTAGCAAAATTACAGTTATGAGGTAGCAACAAAAAAAATATGGTTGGGGTTCACCACAACATGAGAAATTGTATTAAGGGGTTGTGGCATTAGGAAGGTTGTGAAACACTTTTCTAGAGGGTGTCATTTTGGCATTCCATCGCTTTTGAAGGGTCCCTGGATCCCCAAGGGTAAAAAAAAAAAATTGAAATGTTTTAAAAAAATGGTTTGTCTCTACATTCCTTCTAGGTGGAAAGGGATTTTCCACCATGTTTCAACCCCACCACGCCAATTCAGCTCTAGAAGAAACCTAGGAAGTGAAAAGGGAGTGACTTCCAGATGGTTCCTGTCAAAAAAGACCTAAAACTGTTCTTGGGAAATACTTCAGTGCTCCCACACCCCCAAAATGGTCCATAGTCATCTATAGAGAAGATGTGGATCTGGCACCACACAATGCACAACTTTCACACTATCAGGCAAAGATGTACTAATTAGGATTGGCTGAAGAGTGGTATTGAACCCACTGCATTCTTCCTCAAAATTCCCATGATTGGCTGAAGGTGACAATAGAAATATTCATGCATTTAACTGTGCAGAGATCTTTTCACACCTTCAGATTCAGATTATAATCCTTCTACATCCCAGTACATGTTTACTAGGCTTGGGTAACCACGGAAAAATTTGGTTCTAAACTCGTTTTGTTTTTAGGGGGCCCTTGTGTTTCGTTTTTTTTAAGAATTCCGAAATTTTCCTTTTAAAAAATTAGAAATATACGAAATTTCGTAAAATTACAAATCGATTTGTTAATGGCGGACATGATTGCGCAATATGCTAAAAAAACCTCCAAATGGGACAGGGGGAACTTCTGAAGCTTCCCTCTCCCTCTGTTGTTGACTGTTGGTGTGATAAAACAAACAACAACTATATTATATTATATTTATAATATTATTATATTATTATTATATTATATTATTATAATATTAATTATTATTATATTTATATTATTTTTATATATTATTATATTATAATATATTATAATAATATAATATAATATATTATTATAATATTATTATATTATATTATTATATTATATATTATAATATAATATATAAAATATATTATAATATATTATATTATACTTTATACTAGCTGTACCTGGCAACGCATTGCTGTGGCATAGAGTAAGGGTATGAAAAATAAAGTAATGAGAAATTTTGGGCAAGAAGGATGTCAGGAGAAAGAGGAGGGAGGTAACTTGCAGTGGGCTTTGAGAGGAAGGAAGGAAGGAAGGAAGGAAGGAAGGAAGGAAGGAAGGAAGGAAGGAAGGAAGGTAGAGTGAGGCAAGAAGAAGCATGAGGAAAGAGGAGGGAAGCAGCAGAGCAAAGGGACCGGAAGTGGGGTAAATGCGAGATTGTAAAACTTGCACCAGACATACGAAAATAATTACGAAATAATTACGAAAAATTGGAAAAATTGTTTCGATTCTTAATTACTCCTCACACTATTCCTGCATGGCTCAATATTGGATCGTAAGCTAATTTAAATACAAATTAATAACGAATAACGAAATTAACGAACTGGATCGCCCAAGCCTAATGTTTACCAATTTATGATAATATGTGCAAAGATCTCTTGGTGGCACCAAAGCAGGTTGCATCAAGTCCTCTCTAGTGGAAAAAGTATACCTTTAATCTGCAGGAAAACATTCTGAAAGCTTACAGTTATGCAAACAAATACCTGAGGAAGAGCAGAAGAAGCTGACATCTGGGCAATATCTAGCACATGCGCAGACACATGTAGACAGAGCTATTCCCCCCCCCCCCACCACCACCATCCTGAAAAATGTTTATGCAGAGTATATTATCTGCAATATTTCTGCTCATTGTAACTTTGAATTTAATTCACCTTCCACTTTCTAGTGCTTTAGGGTGTTTCTGTTATGCCAATGCTTCTTGGCAGGATGGACTCATTGGTTACCATCCATTTCCCTCTCAACCCCAAGCTCCTGATACTTCTGGACTGTTTTACAAAAGGAGTGAGCATCTGGCACTGCACCTGGCCAAGAGATGTGCTGGAAAAATCAACTGGAAAGGTTTATCTCCTCCAAGTGTTTGAATTTTTCTTCCTTAGAGAAGATGAACCCCTTGTGTACAAAAGTATTTCTCACCCTGTCCCCTGTAACAACTACCATCTGCTCCCCTAGGTCAAAAATTCAGGCTTCAGTGCTTCCTTAGATAATAACAAAACCAATTTTGATTATTCCCAGAAAAAAGAATCATTTGCTTACACTTGCCAAGATTTTTTAAACACCTTCTGTACTCTTCTGTCTCTATTATATCAAATCAACCAAGGTGGTACAAGATGATACAATTACGGCAGAATAATGACTTCTACAAGCTCAAGAAGACCTCACCTTTCTCTTCCTTCTTTCTCCTCCACCACTGTATTTAGCATGCTAAGAGTGATCCTTCTATGCTTTGTCTGAAGGACCTTCCCTGTGACTAATTTCCACATTTGCCTTTCTATGTTTGCCCCCTACCCACCTAATAACTCTAATATCAAAGTGTTAGTTGTGAATCTCTAAGGATTTCAGTGTTTTTAAAAAATCATTCTTCGAGTTCTCTGGTGCGTGTTCTACATTTCTTTCATTATTACAAATAAAATACTAACCCCATGACTTTGACAAACACATTT